CACATCTTGCTCTTATGCTTGCCACCCACACATCTGCTGCTTGTTTTTACTAGCAAGAAGAGGAGGATTAAACTCAGGAACAGACTTTAATTCTCAATGAATCGATACTGGAGTCAAAAGCAGCACTCTGACTGTTTTTCCGGTGAACCTTGGTTTCTTACAAATTTATCTAATATCTTTCCCAAGAAGAAAGAAGGTTCTGCTCATATATTCTCTTTATAAATATCACTGTAAATTCCTTGATTCCAGATGCCCATAAAAATAGATTCTGAATGAGAAGCAGGAGATAGAGAAAATTTTTACAATTAACATATTAAAGAAAGCTAAGGTGTTTGCTAATTTGTTGCAATATTGGCACACTATTTTGAGACAGAAATGAAAGGAGGGGGAAGTTATTTTAAAGCTATGCTTTTGTTTAGAATTACCCCCTCCCCTTTTTTTTTTCTTTTTTTACAGAGGCTTACAGACCTTGAAAAGGAAATTTTGGCTTCACTAAAACAAAATCGTTTGCAATTCACATCACTCCACCCATCTGAGGCTGACTGACTCCCAGTTTCTCAAGCTTTCAAAGTGCTCTGAATTTCAGCATTTCACTGCATTAAACCCTCATCCACTGCATGAAGTTTTCAAAGCAGCAAAGTGTTGGGAAGCTGAGCCCTGTTTGCTGAGGTTCAGGGTGCACTGACTCTGCTATGCCTGCTGACAGACAGTGTATAGCCAAGCCTGTGCTTCCAGGGAGTGCCAGACCTAGTGTGTTCCCACTGCAGAAATACTCTGGGGATAACCACAACAGCTGTATACCCTAAATGCCTTAGATGCGTTGAACATGCCTGGATCAGCTGCAAGTCCACAAGGACAGGCACAGTCTGTGTGGACTCCAGCATGCGAGTGGGGATCCTCCCACTCAGGGAATCTGCAGGAGGAATACAGCAGCTTCCCACAAACACAATGCCCGTGCAACACTTACCCCGCAGCTTCACACACACAGGCTCCTGGTGCATGCCAAGTTAGCAGCAGCCTTTGAAAACATCGTCTTGAATGTCACGGCCCAAGGGTCCCTGGAGGAATTGTACCCTCTGCAGAACGTCCCTGGTTTGAAGGCTTTTTTCCCTCCCAGGTAAGAAAAGTGTGTGCAGTGGCTGAAGAGGATCACAGCATCCTGAATCCTCTTCAAACTGCTGCTTTTAACTACCCAAATAACTGCATCAGGATGTAAATATTTTTCTTTTTGCTTTTGTGGTACTTCACTGTTTGCATCTGGCTCGCCACGACTCCACGCCTTCCTCTCCAGGACATTTGCCATTTGCTCTCCTTCTGCGGCGGGAGGAGGAATAGAAATTTTTCAGAGGTTTAGGCACATTCCTCTCCTTCCTTCACCAGGCTCTTCCTTTGCCAATTGTTTAGTCTCAGCCTGGGGTTAGAACTCTGCAAAGTTTTATTGGGATCCAGGGTCTGGACATGTCACAGATTATCAAATAAATCTCCAAGAAGCTAAATGCTTGCTCTGTAAGTACTTGTTCCAATGCTGGGCTTATGCTCACGAGCCAAAAACATCTTGCTTTTCTTCCCCTGTACAGCCTCAGAAATCATAACAATTAGGTACCAATAGGAGCTCAAAAGGACTTCAGGGAGCTCCTTAGAGGGTCAGTCCCAGATGCTCAGGCTGTTGTACCAATCCTCATCCCCGTGATGTCCTGTGCATCACGCTTTATCTTACCTTTACTGAGTAGTATCAATGATTTCTTCACACTTTCTAGCAAGCCACGACCTCTCCCCTGGCCAAACCTGAGTTGCACCTCTCTTACCTGGTGTAGGGGTGGAGCCACGATCTCCTTCTCTGCCCATAAAACTCTCAGATGTCCTCTCACCCCATGTCCCAGGACCACGGGCGGTTTGTGTCTGGTGGAGTCAAGCATCCCAGCCAAGGCAGTCAGTCCCCACTCAGAGCACAATATCAGCTGGCCAGTGTGTGGATGCCAAAGCAACTAACTCACCAGGGAGCAAAAGTCTGGCCAACAAAACACTAACCTTTCCCTGTAGCAACTTGTTTGGCCGTTTCTGAGAATTCCAAAGAAACAACAGGACATTAATTACAAAGCTGTTACACCTACCTGTTTGAGTAAGTCTTGAGAAGAAGACAGGGATAGTCTGAAATCACCTGCCCCTTCACTGCTGTCACCAAGTAACATCATGTTTAAACCAAAGTGAGTCTGTCACCATTTTGGGGTAACTGTGTGTTTAACTGTAGTCCGTGAGATCATCAGTTGTTTCTCACTTTGCATACAAAGCTCTGGTTTTGTCTTGACTTCAACCAGCAGCACATAAAAAAGCAAAGAGAATTAGCCACTACTGCTGGTGGTGTTTCAGTCCTCAATGGGAGCAGAAAGTCAATATGAGCATTGCCTGAAAGGAACGCAAGACTTTATCCTAAGCAGCACGTACTTCGTAGGTCTCTAATTAAATGTTTACATCAGTTGGACAAACATCATTTCACTAGTCATTAGCTTCAGACAGAAACACGTTTATAACTCCTTGTTGCACCCTATGCATTCAATTCAGTTAGAAGACACTGTTGTAAGATCACTGCACACTGACCAAGCAGATGTTGAGTTCACATAAGGTGCCATGGCAGATGGACACTTTGGTTTTTTTAAAAGCAGACATTAATGGAGTGAAAACAGGACTGAAGGGAGAAATTCCCTACCTCTGCTGAAGTTCAGCTGTTTCCCTGGATATTGCTAAAATTTCCACACCAAATTTCATTTCCAGTCCCAGTGTTACCAGAAAGCAGGCTCTTGCCTTTAAAACTCACCTTTTGATACCAAATCACATATATAGAAACACTTCTTCACCCACAGGCTGCTCCTGTTCTGCCCTGAGATGCACTGGTTTTAAAATAAAGCTCTACCACAGAGGATGAGAATATATTTATTGGTTATAAAATATACAGGTGAACATCATTGGTTTGGTACAACTTTATAAGGACAGGAGCAGGTTTTGGTGAGGGGGTGGGCTCTGCCTGGCTGGTGCTCCCCAGCAGTGCTAACCCCGGGGTGCCACAGCCTTTGCAGGGATGTGCTCTGAGCGAATCTGAGAAAAAGCAAACCTTAGTGACTTATCAGCATTAGCTGGACATTGATATTCTTTCAGCTTCAAAGGAACATAATGCTGTAGAGAAGCAGCTTTCTGATAACCAGCATGATTAAGGACTTTAATCCAGGAGGGTTTGGCTTGTCCTTTATAACCAAGCATGGCAAAACTCCCTGAAAAACAGACACAGAGAGAATGACCTTCTGGGTGTGTCAGTTCATTTAGCAGCAGCACAGCATGGACTCCCTCCACACATCATGGAAAGGTTTTAGTCCTTCTTTTTTTTCCTTGGATTAATACAACGGAACATTTAGGAGAGAGAAAGGGTGATGAAAGAGGAAATGAGCCTCGCTGAAGCCGTAACCTCGCTGCATCACAAATCTGCAGATATTTCAACAGGCTGAGCTAGGCACCCAGATGTCAGTTATCAGGAATATTGTTTTACTGTTTATTTTTAAGTAACACTGTTACTTTTTTTCATATTTGACTACCTGAAAATGGTTAGACACTTTGAATCCTTCTTTTATTAGTTTACGTCATTTCTTCCTGTTACGCCTAAACTATCCCCCATGTCGGCTCTGCTCTGGTCCTCTGCTGTCCCAAAGTACAAAGGCATTATGTATTCTTCGATTTTAATAATAATGTCTTGTGTTTATATTATGCTTTTCCTTGCAAAGACTCCCAAGGCTATTTGCAGCTGGTTGGATCAAGACTATTCCCGTAAACACTTCTAATTTAAATAAGGTTTTGCAAAACCAGGAAACAAAACCCTAAATCCTGATCCCGCTGGGGTCAAGAGGGGTTTTTTGCATTATCCCTGGCAGAAGCAATGTGCACTTGGGAGAAATGCTCCAGCCTGCCCTGAAACACAGCCCACCCCCCCAGTGAGGAGCAGTCCTGGAGCTGTGAAGTCAAATAGTGCACATACCTGAACCAGCAGGAGGAAGCTCATGGAGCAGAACATAATTACCCAGACTGGAAATCAGGGCAGACACATGGGTGAACACCCTTGCCCTTAGGAAAAGCAAAACAGGGGTGGCTTGTGAACAGCCATCAGCAGCTTAGTCCCACTGCCAGCATCCCACCGAGGTGGCAGGGCAAGAACGTGGCCACCAACCAGCATGTCCCTGGGAGGGTGCTGGCCCTGCCTGCTGCTTTTTGTGCCCCAGGAGCAGTCAGGACTGGAGGCTGAACCAAGCTCCCAAAACGGCCAAGTGAGTGGCACAGGTGGTTCAAGGGGCCAAGTTTGGCAAAACGAAAAAAAAAAGATCCCTTTTTAATAAAAAAATTCCTTTTGAAAGTATTCAGGGCTTTGATGAAAGAATGAAACAATGAAGTTTCAGGACAGAACCAAAAAAAACCCTCAAACTTTTGCTTTTCAAAGGATGAAACAAGAAACAGCTTCTTTGGAATCAAAACAGGCACTGAAGTGAAATCACTGCCTTTCTTGTAAAGACTGTGCTGTCCTCCCCTGGCACGGTCATAGCAATGAGCTTTGAAGCTTTGACCAGAAATTGATAGAAATTTCAGTAAAGCAATAGGGAAAAATATCCTCAAACTCTAGAGAAAAAAAAAGAAGCTGGAATTACAGCTAATTTTCCATCTGATCTCTGTGTGAAGTCCTGAAACCTGAATCAAGCTGGCTGGTTGTTTTCTTGTTCCCTTATCACTCACATTATTCGTCCAAACCTGGACTCAATAGCCCCCACTTTTCCAGGAGGAAAGCCAGCATGAATTTCCTGGACCAATGCTACCAATGGATTTCTTGCAGCAATCCAAGGTAAAATTGTAAAAAGGACTTTCCCAAACTGTTGATTTCACCTTCCTTCTATCCAAAAAATAAATAGCTCCTATTTCACTGCAAGCTGTTTTCTTTTTCATCAACTTTTCAGGTTATGATTTTTTTTCCTCACAAAGCAATAGAATTTTAGAGATGGAGATTTTATCAAAAGATTCTCCTTTTTTTTTTTTTTTTTGTTAGGAAAACAAGCTCTCTTTAGGATGAAAAATTTGCAGCATGCAACTTCTGATGGGTGAAGTAGGGTGAAACCCCTTAAATAACTATCCTACTTCTCACTATCCCTAAGCCAAGAGGTTTTTACTAGGTTACACTGGCATATTGTGGCAGGAAATATACTGATAAGCACTATGTAAATGTATATACATTTTTGATTGGGAAACACCAGAATTACTGGTGTGTTTCCCAACCCAATTAAAAGCAAAACAAACGTGAAAAGCAATAAAATGCAGAAGAAACATAATGGAATAAATATATTTACCTCCCTTATGGAAGACAATAGGCTTTGCTGAACCTAACCTGGTAAAAACAGACATTTCAGAGCTGCCCACCACGTCTGTGATACTTCTAGAGCACACAAGAACAAGTGATCTGAAAAGAAGGACAGTAATTACTGCATGATTGGAAAATACTGCTTCATTAAGAATCTTCAAGACCTTTAAGCTCCAATTCAGAAAAGTACGTAAGAACATGTACTTTAAGAACATGTTTAAATCCCTTTCAATCACATGTAAGCTTTCACAAGTTTAAGCCTCCATTTAACTGTTCCTGAATTAAACCTGTTCTTCACGTGGAATCAAAACAAGAACAAATGACTCTGAGTGTATCCATCCCTTATGGGAGAGGGATACTCAGTTGCTGTGAGACTCAAACTATCTACATCCTGGCTCTGATTTTCAGTCAGGCTTCAGCCTGCTTTGGTCCTCGGAGATGTGCTTTCAGCCCCCAGTGAGTTGTACCTGCAGTGAATTACAGGCACAACTGGTTGCATTTAGCTGAATGCCTAGGCTTGCAAAATACTCATCCTACCAGAAAAACAAACCAAATGTACAGACATCACATGGATATATGTCCCTTCATGCACATCTGATACATATACATACTCATGTGCATAAATACAGATGTAATAACTCAGTGGTGTTTAAATTGTTGGTCATAAACTGCTCAGAAATGTCTTGGACTGAAAGTCTGTTTTCTGGTTATTTGACCTGCTTCTACCAGCAGCCAAGAATTTATCTACCAATCTCTGTTGTTCCGTGTTTATGTGGCAACACATAAAACCAAAAGGAATGTGGGACAGACACAAACAGAGGGGATCCAGACCATTGCCAGACATACACAAGGTAGGAGAGCCAGCAGGCAGGCACGTCTAGTCATTGGCTTACCCAAGAAAAGTCCCACTGGAAAATCTGGCACACCTATGATTTTCATCTGCCACAAGAGGCAAAAACAATCAGTAAGAGTAAATAGAAATCGACTTGTTTCCGAAATGGAAAACTGAATCATTGGCTGCCAGGAAATGGCTGGGCACTGGGATGGGTGTGCAGGATTGCAAGTGTCATTGTGAGGACCTTATCTACTCCATAATGGAAAATGAATGGATTATTTAGAAGAAATTGCCAGTTTTCCAGAAAACCTGTTCCTGACTGCTCTAATCTGTACAATCCTGGGAGAGAGATGCTGCTTCTCTTATTGTCTGGCTGATATTTGGGATTTGTACATGTTTAATCTGTGCCAGATTTCTTCAGAGCACAGGTTTGGTTATGAAAGTAGGTCGTTTTCCTTTCTTTATCTGTCAGCCACAGGTTGCTACATGAACTGGGCTCTCAGCAGTTTACTTACCTCTCTTTTATGGATGTTTGAACATAATCAGTTATTGCATGGGCAGCGTTTTCACTGGCAACTGTGTCAAAATGCCACCTACTCACAACTGCTCCTGAACATGCATCCAGCACCAGGAAGAATATCCCACTGCTATTGAAGAGGAACACTGTGCCATTTACCTGTAATAAAGAAACAGAGGTAGTTTTATGGAGGCAGGTTGGGGAGCCTCAGATTATGACCCTGCTCCTCCATAAGGGAAATTGTAAGCAAGGAAAATATCCACATTTTAAAAATACCTATAATTTTAAATGTATCATTAGTACAGATGAAGTGACATCAAGGATAGTTGGTCAGTGGCAGGAGGAAGAAAAACCCTTAGTTCTAAAATGGGTACAAAAACATGAGAAATGAGGTCATCAGCATCTTCTGTGGATTAGGAAGATACATTTGGGAAGCCAAGAATCCTGAGAGTAAAATGCTTAGTTCAGCCTTAATACAATTTCCTTTCATGTGGGGGAAATTACTGTCACTTGGCAAAGTGGATTTGACCACGGAGCAAGGGAGAGGTGCTGAGACAGCAGATGGGGGAATAGAAGTAACACATGCACTTTATTGTTTTCTCTGAAAATTTAAATATCAAAACCAAACTACTCCTTCTTGGTAGGGCTGTATCAATGCCTCAAATAAGTTGTAGCAGAAATGGCTCCTACTCTTCTTCTTTCCTACAGCAAGAGCTCCTTCCCCATGTTACAATTCCCAAGATGTGCCACAGTATTTACTTTTAGAAAGCCAAAAACTCTCTGAGGTGCCTGGCACTGGTGCATCCCCCCAGCATCCTGAGGGACAGCTAATCCTGAGAGAACTCAACCTCCACCAAGGAGAGCAACAGTGTATGAAGGTCAGGCTGAACCCAGGATACACAAGGCTGCAATCCACACAGAATTCCAAAGCCCACAGGTATCAGGGAGCTCAGATGAATCCCATCAATCTGAGACATGAATGTCTTCAGGGAATATAGGGCCAGACTGAATGAGGGAGCCAAGTGTCAAAAAGTGGCTTCTGCAAGATGTCAGGGGATGCTGAATGCAACAGGGGGTCAAGGGTAAGGGAAACATGAATCTCCAGGCCATGGGTGGCCAGAGGGGAGTGAAGAGGAGCAAAGACAGACTAAATCTTTTGCCTGTCCTGGCTGTCTCACACTCCTAAGCGTGGGAAGTGTGACAAAGTCTGGGTGCACACGCAGCAGAGAGAAACCACCACTGCAAACAGACCCAAGTGTGAGCCTCTGCCAAAGAAACAGCTCTGATGTGTGTCCTGTCCCACATCCACGTGCTACAGACCCCCAGAGGAGCCAGCACATGGGCCCCCATGGCCCTACAGGACTGGGGTGGGGCACACCACATCTGGCTAACTCAATCCATGGGGAAGCTTGGATCAGAAATTTAAAACAATTCTGACCTTTGCACTTCATTCAGCTAAACAAAAACAAAGCATGTACTTCTTTATTTCCAAATTCTCTGAAACCTTTTAAGATTTAGGGTGAGAATCATCCTTTAGACAGTAATCTTTACCACTTGCCTAGCCCAGCCTTTACTGCAGCTAGGGGTACACGTGTTAGAAATAAAACTTCCTTAGGAAAACAGCACTTTGCATTAAAGCCTAAGAAAAGGCAAAGAAGCTTTGAGGATACTGCACCTGTCCCATGAGTGCTGCACACACAGAGGTGTCTGTGCTTCACCATGGGTGAGGATGCTGCCTCCAGTAACACCTGCTTGCTAATGGTTTTGAATAAATTTTGATGGTGCAGCCAGTGCACTAGCAAGAAACCTTGGCTGCTCAGACTTCTAAAGGATGCTGTACCAGCTTTGCTTGGCATTTGTTAGCATTAATTATAATTCAGTAGCACACAGGTATGTAAGCCTGGACAGTGTTCTTGCAAGAATGATTCCAATCACCCTTCACTGTCTAGACAGACATATAAGGCACGTGCAGGGACAACCTGACAGCTCCAAACTGCTTCAGTAGTGAAATATAGTTATTTTTATCTTTTAGTGCAATGCCAGCAGAGAAAATCAGGAAAACAAACTTGTTTTTTCCCCCACATCCTTTGTAAACAATGACTTCTGGTTTTTCCTCCCCTTCCTCTACATTAGAATGGTGGTGTTAATTCTTCTTCTGAGGTGATAAAAGGCCTTTTTTTCCCATAAAAGCTCAAATCCTCATCTGAATAGAATAGGAACTCCCAGTGACTTTAATGGAGTTAATTGTAAGGGAGAACAATGCACTTGCCTCTTCCAGGGGAACTTCCCATTTCCTTCTGCCAAAGCTCAGCAAGATTCTGCAGTAGCTTTCCTTGGAGATAAAGTTTTCTCTGTTTAACCACTACTTCAAATGCAGTGAAACACAACATACCTTAATGAACGCAGATGTCAAGTGGTTTTGTGTGTCCGCCCTGCTGAGAGATTGGATCTGGATCCTTATATACTCAACTGAGGGTGTGCTGGTGATGGCAACCTGCAATTACACCAGAGATAGAACCTTAAAAGTTGGCTTGCAAACTGGTTTTCATCAGCAAAATGACACCAGGTATCCATGCTTGTATATATGTGATTGCAAAACTTAGAGTCCTTTGTTCAAATTGTGATCCTGATTCACAATTAAGTGCTCATTATTAAGACAGCATTTGTCAAAGGATCGTGGGAAGGCTGGTTGGAAGAGACCTCTGATGGTGACTCTGCCACTAAGTAAGTTTAAAAGTTGAGTATGGATTTCCTATATTTCGTTTGAATATAAACTCAAGTGCAGGTCTGTAGGAGTCTGAAACAGTTCTACAGGATTTGGAGTGGGATGAATCTACACTAAACAAAGAGAAAAGCTGGATCTAATTTTTCAGTTATTCCTATTAACCAGAATTACTTCCCAGTTTTAAATGCAGAGGCAGTGTTGTACTTCTGAATTCAAAGCTACTTCAAAATAAGCCTTCCCAAGGGTCCTTTTGTTTAAGTTTAAAAGAAAGAAAGGGGAAAAAAGGTGCCATGAATGTGCATCCACATGCTTCCAGTTGGGCGCTTTCTTTGAGGCAATCTTTGAAGCACAGTACAGAAAGCTTCAGCAATTCAGAGCAAAACCCTCCCCTTTACACAGGTTATGTGATGCTGGGCAGATTCACATGTGGGAATTCCCTACGGCTTCTCCTTGTATGCTGTCAGAACAAATTGACCACGCGTGGGTTCACATACATTGCACAACCTCAGAGGCTGTTTCATGCATCGTGGTGGTACCTGTGGGGCTCCACATGCCCTGCACAGCCCAGCTGGGCGTTGGGACACAGGGTGCTGGGCAGCCACTGGCCTCTCAGGGAAGGGGTTGGGGTCACAGCTCCAGGAGTCCCCCGGGCTCATGTGCGCCATGATTTTGATACGTTCACAGCCCTGCTGAGAGCAGTAACTGTGTCCTTCCCGAGCTTCATGGGCTTGCAGGTGAACAAATAGGTACCTACAAATGGGAGCAAACAGAGGCATCAGACACCCCCTGTGGGCTTAGGGGACAAGCTGAGCAGAGACAGGATCTACACATCCATTGCCAAGTGGGTCCTGCAAGGATGTAGGTCGAGCTGCCCTCTCATCCTGGTGTGACAAGAACTGCAGCACTTGCAGCCCCCATGCCCAAGCCTTCACCACACAAGCAGCATGTGGGACAGACCCCCCTCCATCCCCAAGCGCTCCTGCTGCTCCTGGGTGTGGTGGCATCCCACCAGAGAAGGAGCAGCAGCTGTGCTTAGGCTGTTGTGCAGAAGGAGACAGGTTTGTTTGGAATTATGAGCACTGGCCCTTCAGCTCACTTCACGGCAGAGCTCAGCCCTAGGCATGCATGACAGAAGCTCCAAGGCAGCCAGGCCTTCTGGCCTTTGGAGTTCATTTTTATTTCTGGCTGTTCCAAGTATGTTTTCAATCCTCTCCATGCTACAATTCAAGCTGAAGAAATTACATAAACAGCTCAGTTCAGCTTCAGGATCAAAAAGATACATGAGCTTTGCATGGAATTTTCATTCTCTTTCTTTAAAAACTAAATATTTGTTTCTTTTTGTCTGGAAGAAATAATGAGTAAGCTTAGTTCCTTTCCAAGGATGTGGGGTTAAAAAAAGAAGGGGAAACATCCCACTCATTATGAAATAAAGTCTAAAAAACAACAACAGGAAAAGAAAAATGCCAATCCCGTAACTTCTGTGCTCTGACAGGCTAAAAAAAAATCACTGCTGAACTAAATGGAGAACCAAAACGCTGATACTGCCAGAATTTAGTTAGGTTAGACCCATCAATCTGCATGTGCCAGGTCCAGATTGCTGCTGGCAGCTCATGGCCTTTCCCCCACAGATCCACACGTGTGACCATTTTCCCTGCTATTCAGTAGTAAACAACCTGTTTACAGACTTTGGGCAGCTTTTTTTTTTTTTTTTTTTAAGGAGGATTAATTAGCGAATTGATGTTTCACAATTCCTGTGATGAGAGAGACCTGGCCATCAGCAAGGAGCTTGGTTAGCAAGGAAGGCCTTCCGGGATTCGATTGCTCATGTGTTATGGTTGAATGAATAAATATATCCCGTCTTATTTTCAAATCTGGCATTTGTGGACTGATTCCTGAAGTAGCTACTTAGTCAGGTGAAGCATCATGGGACTCGTGGTTAAACCACAAAACACTTTTTTTCTCCCTATTTTAGCTGACTGAGAAACACAGTTTCGTAATATGTTTTTTTAACCAAAGGTGTCCTAAAGCCTTTCAAAGATAGTGCAAGATTTATAGAACCATCTTCACGCCTTCCAAATAAGAGATGTGCTGTGGTGCTCTCCTTTTTTCACAAAATCTGATTTTTAGAATGTGATTATTTTAGAAATCTCTCTTCATGGGAATATGCAGAAGTTGAAACTTCCCAAACTGTCTCAGTGTTGGAGCCACAGCAGTTGCAAAAGGGCTCTTTTTCATGGCCCTTTGGGGTACAACGAGTTCAAACAAATATTTGCACTGTGCCCACACCTGGAGTGATCTAAGTAGCAGGGATGCACAAGGTGCTCAGTCCAGCCAAGAAATCAGCCATTCTCTGAGCAGTAATGCAAATCATTGCTTGGATGCAGACATAGACCTGCCCCAGTTACTCCAGTCTGGAAATCCATTTTGACCTGAATCAGTGAAGAGAGCATGCAAGATGGGCAGACCTGAATCTTAACTATGAGAAAGAAGAAAGGAGGTGCTGGGGCTGGTAAGAGAAAGACCCCAAGGGCTTGCTGCCCACCCAGGGGCACAGCAGGGCTCACCCTGATCCTCTGTCGAAGTAGAAGAGCCGCTCACGAGTTCTGTTGAGAGCGATGGAAGGAGCAGCAAGGTAGTGCTGGACACTGTGCACCGTCCCTGTCCGTCGCTGGTAGATGTCTCCCACCACCTGGAAAACGGTTTCCCTGGGATAGCAGAGGGCAACACGCAGCCAGTCTCCTCTGTCGGCAGAAAGGGCAGGCAGGGGGAAAGGGAAAAAATGCACTTCAGGGCTCGAGCACAAGAGAGATGGTCTGCAGCCAAGAGTACAGTCTTCAGGGGAAAACAAAGAAATGTCCTTTGAGGTTCTCTTTTTCCTTTGAAAAAACACAACAAATCCTCAAAGCCAAAGAAAATCAGATTTTTTTGCTTTGTCTGGAAACAACGGCTGCTTATTATGAAGGTCTGATGCAGGGACCCCAGCTGACCTCAGAGGACTTTGAGACAGGTGCCAGGATGGCTTAAAATCAGATATTTTCTCTTCCTTGCCCCATAAGGCTGAGGTACAACCAGTCACATACCCACTCACATCTCCTGAGGCAGCTGGGGCTTGTTTCAGTCCATCCGGAGCTGCTGTGGGAGAGGGAACCAGCATCCCGCAGACATTTCACTGGGGGCACAGATTCAGGAATTAGAAAGTAATCTCTGACTTGAACCAGAGCCACGGTCTAAAGAGACCTGCTTCCTCAACTTTACAGCAAAGTTTATTATTATTGTTTCCATTAAAATCTCCCTCTCTGTGGCTCTTTCTGCAATGTCAGTTGAGAGTAACTAAGGGTGAAGTTAAATCACCTTTTAACTCTTGTTTACCCCAATTTACATATTTACAAAAAAGATTGGCCCCGTGGCTTTCCTTCATTCTGTGATTCTGACTGCCACCCTCTTGCAGAGAAAAAACAGCTCCAAATTAGAAACCTTTAGACTTAGAATCAAAGATGCAGCTACAGTGTAATTCAGATACTGATGGGAAGGCTCTTCCACAAAAGATCCCAACACTCTTTCCTGTCTGTGAGATGCACTTGTGCTGTGCAAAGCAGAAAGCCACAAGAAGTTTACACTTAAAAAGAAAAACTGAATACCAAGATAATTAGCTTTTTTTTCCCTCCTTCCTCCCCTCTGAAGTGGCTCAGCCTGTAACACCAGGACTCCTGAACCAGTACCATAGTTTGCTTTCCTTATGCCACCAAAACCATCAAGGATTTAAATGTATTTTTTTAACTTCCTGGTTAAAATGTGAAAATATAAATTTGGCTTAGAAAAAGACAAACATCACCTTCATTGTCTGTCTCTCTGCATCCTGCACACCTCAGGAAGTAAAAATTTCTCCAAAGGCTTCCCTGAAGTGACCCGCCACCCATCCCTGACTGCAGAGCAATAAATGGGGGGAAACTACTTCAATTTGGTGAAATCTGGGAATCTTCATGCCTAGACCTCTACTTTGCTTTACACATGGAGAGCAATAAAGCAAAGCTATTTCAGCCTTGTTCTGTTTTTTTCATTAAAACAAAACAAAGCTATCTACAGGATGGAAGAGGGGACGGGCTGTTCTAGGATAATAAATCAAAGCCACACAAAGACCCATCAGCTTAAGCCAGATACTGCCCTCTAGATTTTAACCAACTCCAGCTGTGTCATAACACAGGACAGCTTGAAAACGGATATATTTTCAGATGATCTGGTCTCCGACTAGAGGAAATGAAAGAAATGTACCAAAGCCATATTTGTGTAGTATTTTTAGGATGGAATCCCAAGACATTTGGCTGTTTCATAAGGGTGATTTGCATTGTGTTAGCACATTTCATCCCCTGAAGTCACCATCACAAAAAGAGCTGGTCACTCCCCCAGATGCTGGGAACCAGCTTTGGTGCTGTGCTACACTGATTACCACCTCCCCAGGGAATGAGAAAGGCATTAGAAAAGGAAACTGGAGGGTGAAAGGGGAAAAAAAAGGCATGAAAAATCTACAGCTGTGACTGTCTTGAGTTGCCGGGGCATTTGGGAATAGGAGTGCCACAGTCTGGTGTGCACGTGAGCAGGCTGAGTGAAGTACTGAAATAAATTACACCAGGACTGAAAAGATCAAATGAAAAGCACCTACTTTGGAATTTGTGGAGGAAGAGATGGAAATTAGTACATTCCCACAACAGAGGGCTTGGGAGGAGATGTGAGAAGGGAAGGCATTAGAAGTTATCCTCTATGTAAATATAGGAAGGAATAAGGTGGTTATTTTCTCTTTAATTTAGCGGTATTATAACAGCTTCCTATTTAGTTCTGCACTTCAGACTGTTTCTTCAGCTTGTACAAAACCCACCATAAAGCCTCCAAAATACCTGGTTGTGTGGCTGAGCTGGGCTCCAGCACCTCCAGGAAATCAAAGCAAGAGATGTCAGCATAGCTGCTGTCCCTGTGCATAGCACAGACCCTGTGACTCTGCCTTTGAGCTGGGCACTGGATGGGGGTTAGATGGCATTGCCAAAACTGAGGGAGAAATGCAGCCTCAGGCAAAGCAGTAACCAGGTGTGGGACATCCTGGATGTTGAGTCCAAAGTAAAACAGATGTGTGTGTATCTTCCTCAGCCACTGCACAAGGCCCTCCTGGCTGGGCTGAAGTACAGGAAACCTTCCTCTTTTTCGGGGTGGTCATTAACTGTGGGTTCTGTTTTATTTCTCTGCTTCAATCTCTCAATTCTATATTATTTACCAGCTGCTACTCTGGGGTGAATATTTGTAGGTAGAATAAGAAAAAATTGAACCAGCCTAAATATGCTGTAGGTAAGTCCTGGTTTTGCTGCTCTCAGTACCAGCACATGAGCTGACAATGTCACAGGTGCCCAGAGGCTTGGGGACACACACAGCACTGGCAGGGAATGAAAACACTGAATTCATAGTAGATCCCAAATTATGAATTCAAAGTAATTTCTGCCTGAAGGCTGAGGGAGCGTGTGTAGCTTTAGGTGCTCTTGTGCTTAAAGACCAGCACAAACAATCTCCCTTAAAACACGAGGGTAGAAGTCAGACTTGATAAACAAAATGCCAATGTAGCAATACAGAGGACTCTTTTTTTTTTTTTGAGTCTTCAACTTTCATTCTAGGAATTTCTTGTAAGAGAAACAAATTGAAATATTCTCAGGTAGAAAGTCTGACTTTCAAATTTAAATGAAGGTCATACTAATATGTGTAGAAAATTAACTTGAGCTATTTAGGATATTTGCACCCCAAAGCTAAGTGATTGTGTCCTCGAGCTTTTCTAGTGAAAAAGTTAATTTCATCTTATAAATAAGTAAAATTCTTCTTTCTTTTTTTCATTCTTGTTCTTAATCAGGCCAACATTTTTCTTTGTGTTTTTGCAAAAAAACAAAAATAAAATTGGCATTTAAAGGAGAAAAACTAAATATATGCTAGGAAAAAGACTTTAGTAGGTCCTAACAGTTCCAAAGATTACTTTTTTTGAGAATCTGCCGACACCGACATGTATAAAACCTGGCACTTCTGCCCCTCTGTCACTGTCATTCAACAATCCCCACAGTGCACTTCATGCATTTTTACCAACATCTTTAGCCTGCTTATTTTCTTTTGGAAATGGCTCTTTTTTCACCAGGATATTGGCATTTGCAGTTCTGGCTCTTTCAGGTGAAGCAAAAACATCAGATAAAGTGCTAAAAAAGTATTCTTATGTTTTGGCAATGAGCAGGCTTCCTGGGATAAGCAAAAGCATAAAAAGGACAAGGGAAAGGCAAAAAAGCAGGCAAGAGGTTTCCTGTTCTTGGACATGTGGTAGATACAGATCTGCACGTACACACATACATACCTCATTTACAACCCTCAGAACATCCCCCCCAGTTCAACCCCAAACTCTCAAAAGCAAAGACACTCAGAGAAACATGATCAAACAGGCAAAGAAGGGGAGACCTTTGTCAGTGGTGGGATATAAAGTGAGTCATGTAACTTGGAGATGAGATTTGGCTGGAGTGAACACAGAAAAAGTGCATGTCTGCGGCTCTTACTGCCTGTGAGAGGATAAATAACACTTGTTCAACATTGTGAGCAATTCACAATATTGGCTGCCCTGGATGGAGTGTGAGTCCTGGGCAAATGGGTATCATCTAGTTTCTGGTTACGCTGGATGTCAATCCTGGCTGCATTTTAGCAAAGGGAACCTCTAAGCTGATGAATATTATTCTAGAAAACAGTCCCACCATGTTTATTGACATGGTGTGTCACGTAGCTGATGACCATGGAAGTGCAAGGTCCAAATCCTGATCTCACTGATGAAAATCTGGGGTAAGCTAATGAGGGAATGCCATAGAGTACAACTAAAAATTACATTTTTTTTCCCTTGGGTTTGAAAAAACAAGAGAGTTCTATCCAGTGAGTCAGTCTCCCCCAACTGTTATTACTCCTATTTAAAAACAACCCCTCTGACATTTTGGTCAACATCTACGTGAGCTGAACTTTCAAAGGGAGTGAGAGAACTGAGAATTTAAAACTTCCCTGTTCATAATATGGGAACAAAGCAGAAATCCCCACGTACTCCTTTGGTAAGTTTGTCTTTCACGGGCTGAATTTTAAACTTCAAAGGAAAAAAAAAAAAGCATAGCCACCGTTGAGCCTCCAACCCATCCCAAGAATAAATCAGAGGAGGTCAATGCTCCTTGCTCTCAGTCAGGACACAGATGTTTTTTCCCTCAAAACATTTCTCCCAACCTCAGCTTCTCTTCAAGTCAAGTCCATTAAACACACCCCAAACCCCCTGTGATGGCAAACGTGGCTATTGGGTGAACATCCAGCCAAGTTTTTCAGGGCCTTGTTGTTAAGGACAGACTCTTCTGAAGGACTGTTGCAGGGACAGCAACAAGTCAGGTATGTGTTTAGCTAACTAGATTTGTGTGTATTGGGATTTAAATGCGTTTCCTAAATGTTGCTATTTAGGAAATGCCATTAAAAATATCATATCTTAATATAAATTAAAACTTTTTGCTTTATCCACATCTCCTTGGGCAAAAAGAATGATTTTTGCTTTTGTGAAGCTCAACAAATTACAGGAGGGATCCTGCCCTGAGGTACAGTTCTGCTGATCCTCATGAAACCAGGGTCTGACTCAGACAGCATTTGGCTTGCAGACAAATGTATTCAAGCAAAAATAAAAACTTCCTGCGTTTAAATACAGTACATAATCTTTTCA